ACCAGAACCAAGGTCCACAGACTATTGCACCAAGATGCAAGCCTCCACCCTATCTTTCTATAAAAAACTATAATCTTAGCTACCAGTAAAAATGCTGAAAAGCCATAAAATCTCACTTAATTTGCTTTCACTTCCTCTACAAAAATGATGTGCAGTATTATAGGAGTCAGCTTTGAGAGATGCAAATTAACCTTTGGAAGTCACTTCGGTCATGTGCAACCTCGAATCAAACTTTATGTTGCTTATTTTAAATGCCACCTTATCTGCATTTATATAGCTAGTTCTAACTTTCCTGATTAAAACTTTCTGATTTTAAAAAAATATATATATTTACTGTAAAGTGCCTGTATATTTACAGATTAAATTGTCTCAGTAATGGGTAAACAATCTAAAGAGGGTTGAAAAACCTGAACACCAAAGGGATTAAAAAGAACTTTGAATAACCAAAAAGGTGAACAAAGTACAAAGCAGTTTAATCTAGCTTCTAGTTTGGGCAGGCTTTGAAGACCATAGAAACTACATTACTGCAGAACTGCAGAGCTGAAGGCTCTAAGGTGATCAGCATCAAAAGAGACAGCAGACTTGGTCTAGCTCACATAATGACCAAAAAGACAACACTATTCCCAGGACGGAATATTTCTTGTTTGTGTTAAGAGATACAGAGAGGCAACAACTCCTGGGGATAAAACTCTTAAATGAAACAGTGAGGGTATGATTGCAGGGCTTCTTACTACCTGCTGCTTTACTTACCCTGCATATAAACAGAAGATTGCTGTCTCAATACTGTTCATACAACAGTTTTTCCTAACAAAATAAGCATATTAAAAAAAAACAACCAACCAAACAAAAAAACGAAACCAAAAATGAAGCCCAAGAACTACAAGGACTATTGGATGCAAAATATTTTAGCTTTTGTGAGGAAAATTCAAACACTGTTCAAGGAAATAAGTAAGCAAGCTCTGAAACTTTTGCAACAAGCCTTACCAGGAAGGCAACATACCAGTACCTCAGCTTTTCACACTGTCTTTTCATGCTAGTTTAAAGAAGACAATATCCCTGAAGATTTGGAAGAAGGAAGGAAGTTATCCAGATGCAGGCCATTATTTTAGAAAGATGAAGGTTAAAGTAAAACAAAATAGTAAACTGTCTTTGAATCTGTAATTCCTGCAATCCTTCTACTGAAAGGAAGAATACCATTTCAATCCACTTGCAGAAATGTTTAAGTTACAGGCACTGAGTAGTTACATATTATTAATGAAAAACGTGTGCTTACTAGTCTTTATAATAAGTGAGCAAATAAAAATGATGAGAAATGTATTTACTTTAAATATTCACTGCAAAATATCTAGTAATTACAAGACCTCCATGCTGAACACGAGATTTTGCACTCAGCTGGCAACTGAAAATCCTCTTTCTTTTAATGAAAGCTTGGAGTTTTCAAGATAATACAGTGCACAGCAAAAACTGTGTAGAGACCCTAAAAATCAATGTACCTGTAACTATTTTTAGATGTTGCTATTTTCTACTATCCCTGATGTTAAGCCAATTTTGGGGACATTTGGCTGTGTGTGTGTTTCTGTGAGACATATGCAATCAGCCACCACGTAAATTATCCCAGAAGCAAACTGAGAGCTGCAGCTGAGTACTAGGCTGAGCAGAGAGAACATTCAGTTCTCCCATCCCTTATATGTCACAAAAGGGGGCAGAACACCATTAGATTCTACTATGACCTAAGAAGGCACCAATTTTTATATTGAGCTGTTTTTTTCGTGGATTTTGGTTTGGTTTTTTAGCCAGGTAGTTTCTTGTTTCTAACTTTTTCTAATATTATTGATTTTTATCATAATCTATGCATTTTTTACTACAGCCCCAAACATATTTCTGTGCTATGTTAAAAAATTTACTCCTTCTTACAATTCAAGACAGGGTTAATTTAATTTCTTTACTTTTAAGAAAGTTAGTAGGGATTGCAAGAGACAGGAAGAAGAGGAGGAGAAATCCATCAGGCAGGAACGTTTTGATGGTTTTTTTTAGAGTAAATTGCTGTCATATGAAAGGGAATTATAATCTCCATTACCCTTAAAACCAGCTGTATACTCTACATTGGAGTGAAATTTGCCTCATGTAAGTGGCTACTAGATATCCTGTGATGTTCTTTACTTCTGTGTTATGTAAGATGCTGGTGGTGTACAGATACTGTGCTGGCTCTCTGAACAGCTGCCTGTGGCTTTCACCTTCTGAGATTTCAAAAGACGCCTTTGAAATGGAAAGAATGGCAAGACTCCCATTGACTTAGTGGAAAGGGCATCAGGCCTGACGTGAACACAAGATGCGCTTCATAATCTAACTTTAAAAGCTCAGCTTTGCTTTCACTTTTTGCCCATGACTTCAACAGGAGCAGCCCTTGGTTTCTACAAGTCTGAGCTAAGTTAGTAACTCATGAGTGATAAATAAGAAGGGTTTGGGAAGTCAAGTGCTCTTTTCACTGAATCTGGAATGAAGTACCCATCACAATTAAATTATTAGCATTTAAAATAAGCAATCCTTTAAGCCAAAACATGTTATCCTTACACATGCACAGTTACAGTATTTGATGCTTCACGTGGTCTGGTTTACTATTCTGTATTTATAAATATCTTGGGTTTTTTTCTGTTTTCCTGTTTTCTTATTAGCAGTTACGCACTCATCAACTTATTTTAAAAACAAGCAGGGAAAGAATGTGGTAGGAACCAGGAAGTGAAACAGTACAAGGAAGAATGACATCTAGGAACACTGGGACTAAATTCTATCATTTAGAGCAAGAAACCCTCAGAGGAATTATTCTTCATGCAAACGTAAAGGTAGAATTACTCATCAAAACATGAAGAGTACCTTTTTCTTATGTACCTCTTGTCACCTACCACAACTCATGGTTTGATTCACCAAAGCAAGTAGCCTCCATTATTTTGAATGGTACTGAAAACTCTTAGTAGTTGTGTCAGTTTAGTCAGCACCATCACTGAAGATGCTGCCATGACATTATGATGGTCACGTACTTCCTATTCTTAGTTCCTTCATTATTGCTTTTCCACTTGATGCTTGGTTTTGCCTTACTGCATTTTTTTTTTGTCTTCACAGCATTGTCACCTGCTGATGCAGCTAGTGCTTTAACCGTACTGAGACTTTTTGCACAGCTGCCAGTTCTAACTTGAGCTGCGTGGCCAAGTCCAGGTTGCTAATCTGGAGAATGACGTCCCTGTCTTGTGCTTGCTTCCATGCCCAGAAACTTGCTGTCTGTGGTGCGGTGTAAAATTGCAGGTTCTACCTATTAATGCCAGGAGTCAACACTTTAATCAGTTAACGTTTCTGTGGCATTTTTTTCTTGCTCAAAACATAGCTAAAATAATCACGCATCAATTCAGTTCTGTAGGACAGCTATTACATAACAATTAAATACCATTCAGAAAAACAGTTGCTAGTTGAAGTTGCTGCTTGAAGCTTAGCAACCATAAAATACAAATTGCTGCAGTGGAAACTTTATTTGAGCTTTTCTGAAAATGTTCCTGAAGGTCAAGTGAAATCATCTACCGCTTTTTTTATTTTTTCCAAAACAAAGACTTGAAATGAGCATACTGTTTCTGCATATGCATTCATTTTACAAATTAACCCAGGCCGCTAGGAATCTTCACAGGTATGTTCCTTCACTTGTGGCAAACTTTGTAACACTGAGTTCCATTAGAACAACTGAAATCTAATGTTTCTTTTTAGTGGCTATATGGCCACCATAAAAGGTCTACTTCATGCTGGTAGAAGGCCCAAATCTCCCAGTAGTAAAATGGATTAGAGGATGACAAAATAGCCATTGCCTCAGCGATTCATAAATTTTAAAACATTCATTATTTTTCCTTATTAATTTGACATTAAATATGGAAGTACAATATTTAAGAAATCTTGACCAGATGTTTCAAATTTGTGAAATTACAAACTGAAACTAAATTTATGCTCCTTATTGTAACTTATTTTTAAAAAGAAAACTGTATCACCCAATTGCATTGTCCGTCCTGAGAATTCCAGGTGCTCAACATCTATGAAAATCAAGCAGGTTTTATTGAGGAGCTTAAATTTGGACTTAGCAATCTAATTTTAGTCTCTGAAGTTTGAATTTAATTTAATGTGACACTATATTCCTGTACAGGCCAAGCTTGGCCTCATGTTCCTTAAATAAAGCACCTTCAATTTTACTTGAAAGGATGATATCTAAATCAAAGTAGAAGGTTATTTTGTCTCCATTGGTTCTGAAGCTAAAACAAGTAGTCATGCAAATTATCCCATTTGTACTAATTTCTGCCAAAATATGTGGCATATTTGTAACAGGTATCAAGAGCAGATTAGTATAAAGTATTGGGCAGGGACCAAAAGCTTGACAACTTATTCTAGAATGTGATCTTACAGATATCTGGTTGAATCTGTTTAAGGCCACTGTTTCATAAGGGTGAAAGACCAGTTATTAATACACTGATATGCACAAAGCACTACGCCATTGCATTTTCTTCCAATTTTAAATGCACTGGTAGGTTTAACAAAAATACACCAGATTTCTGTAAGAGTTTAAGTACAGTATTGCTGTAACTAGGAGCAAAACCCAAGCACAATCCCTGTATGCCAGCCACAAAGTGTGTTCAAGAGGCATCCATGACAACCTTCAGAAAATAGTTTTCTTTGTAGCAATAATTTATGGGAATCCATGAAAAACTCATATAGAAAAAAAAAACTGAACATACACTGGATGGCTCCAGTGTTTTTCTGTTTTTCATAATCAAAATAAACATGGTAGTGCGCTTAACGTGACAGACAGAACTCCCAAAGAAGCTTCAAAGGGGCTTCTTCCTGAGTAACGTCTGTAAGACCAAACACTATGAAGAATGAAAAGGTACAGTCTGAAGTCCTAATAGGACTTAGTCAAGGATTGTACTATTTTGCTCTGAGCAAAAGAAAGAAAAGAAGTTTAAAGAATAACCAACCTTGAATTGTCCTCTTGAAGAAAGCCTTGCAGGCCTCACAGGAAGCCACTCCATAGTGGTACCCTGATGCAATGTCACCACACACCAAACACAGTCTTTTGGGCATCGAGTTCAGCATATATTCACACTTAGTCTGTGAATCTTCAGCGATGGTACTGGAGCAGTCATCATACCGTTTCCTGACTGGCCCGTTGCCCCCAAGCCCTGTGGCCGAAGGGTAGAGGGGAGGTGAGTCCAGCCCGTTCTGATGTCCATTCATGGTGGAACTGTAGCTCCCACTGGCGTCTGAGGAGCCACCGGGGCTGTGGTGGTTGATGCTGTCCGTCAGAGAGGCAGGGCTGGACGGTTCCGTCTTGATGTACGACGAACAGCTAGAATCAATGTGTCGATCTTTGCTTGACATTCTGCAGAGAAGCCTGTAGTTGGGAGAGAGAGAAAGAAGAATCTGTGTATTAAAGACAGTGCTCTTTAAGGCTGCTCTGGAAGGGTTAGGGACTGCACATCATTCATTCATTAGTCAATACCTCTTGTTCTACATGAAGGTAATCAGCATAAGGGCATGACAGAGCTTTGTCAAAGCTCCAGACAGGCAGTAAACAAAAACTTTAAAGAGACCAAATCCCTCTGTTGTCCCCTCCACCGGCCTTCTAGGCTATGTGTCAACTTCACATCAGCTCTAAATTCTGAACCTGTCATCTAGTGATCTAGCGAATTAAAAAAAATTAAAAATCCCATTAGATAACTTGGCTATTAAATGTCTTCCTTTTTCTGTCGGTACTTGCTGTCTGTAAATTCCATCATTATCAGGAACAAATATTTCCCAGTTTGATCACATAAATGTTCTGCTGTCATTAATATTTGTCAAGACACTTGACTAAAACACACATTCATCATCTATTGATCTGATCCCAGAATTGAAGAGCAAGTCTCCCACAGTCTTTTTTGTTCTTTATTAATATTGCTTTATTATAGATACAGCTATTTAGTAACGGAGTAGCACATCAACTGGGAACTCTAACAAATAATTAAGGCTGGACTCCATTTTCACAAAATCTAAGTGAAATGATTCATCAGCTCTGGCTGCAATTACTTTCTAGCCATTATCCTCAGACTAACCAGTAATAATCCACTGCTATCCCATATATCTGCAGCTCTATAGGACCTGACATTTTACGTGTTCCATTCTTGAATTAAAAAAAAAAAAAAAAATATATATATATTAGATTAAATTTTCAATATAAGTTTTGTCTTTCAGAAAGTGAGATTCTGTCTTCTCAGCTCTCAAGTTCCCACGTTTTCAGAATTAAATATCTGAAATAAAACCACATAACATTTGATCTGACAAAATAGTGCTTTCTACAGGGAGTAAAAAAAAAGTCTTCTTTGTATATTCCATCCTCAAGTTTTTTTATTATTTTTAAATATATTTTAGGGAGAACAAGAAACAAAAATAGTAATTAGAAAGCTCCGAATCAGATAGTATCTTCATTTTTTTACAGCTGTGATTATGAGACCACAGTAGCAAACGGCCTACCCAGCATTTTCCTGACAGAAGCTGCCAAAGTACAGATGACAGTTATGAGCATCTCACTAGAAATATTTTCAGCAGAAAAGCAACTACCCCATAAGGCCACCCACCTGGAGCTACAGATTCATGTTTTCAAAGCAAATGCCTAAATCCAGACAATTTTACTGACTTCACTTAACTTTCTGAAGTGATTTTTGAGAACTTGTCTTCACTTTTTCACTTCTTTGCGTAAAAAAAAAAAAAAAAAAAAATCAATTTCTACTTCAAGATCTGGCATCAAATTCACCAATGGAAAATAGACATAAATCCAGAGAGTTGGTTTCCGTTCCAGTGAGGGTAACCGAGATCAAAGCCTGACCCTTCATTAAAAATATATGCTTAGGATGAGATTTACCCTAAAATTAGGGCCCATGGATCTTACTTAGGACTTCTCAATTATTATTTTTACTGCAAAACTATACTGAAAACAAACGACACGCGAATTTGGAAAACAGACAGATTGATGTGCAGAAATGTTACCCTCCAAACTTAAAATCGGGACTTATTTGGGGAGGGGGAAGAAGTAAGCTATCTGGTGTCAGCAAATAAACCAAGGAAATGGGAAGGTTAAAGCCATGAAAATATCTTATTACACTGGACCACCTGCTTGTGTTGTCCTTTCCTCAAGAACTGGAGGGGGGGAAATCCCCTTGCCAGGCTGCGGTACCGTGTGCCTTTTCTTCTGCATCTGCTGCCTTGTAGCCGTCACTGTTAATGAGTGCTGTAATTAATAGATAGCTCTCTCTTGTCTCTCTACTTGCACTCTGGGCTAAGCACTTTTCTCAAGTCAACGTCTGAAAGAAAGCGGGTCGGCACTGACTTACAGCAGCGCTGCGAATTCCTTTTTAATTTAGAGCACTTACACCACCACTCCACTTATTACCTTATAATTACTGGACGGCTCTCACACACATTATGATCTTAGACTAGAGTTAGAAGTTATTAGGGTACTAAAACATGGTGTCTCTCTGTCTCTCTCTCTCCCTTTCTTTGACACCAAATTTTATACAGCTACAATTAAAAATATCAATTAATTTTCACATTCTAGCAACTTCTGTTTTACCTTATTTTTCTATACACTAACACTAAGGTCCCTTTATTGACTAAACAAGTACTTGGTCTTCTTTTCATCTCCCTGCTGCTGAGACTCCACATATAGAGTCTCAAAATACAGCAACAGGAGTAACTGCCTACAGTCTGTCATAACCAGCTTAATGGCACGTTCTTGTCAAAGACTCCCACTGCTGATTTTTTTTTTCTAATTTGTGCAATAATTAGCTCGAATGTCACCCTTTCCTTCCCAGAAAAACCATTTGCAATTAATTAGTTGTCCAAATGCATGTTGTCTTAGCCAGTGTAAAAGCGGATATCTCCCACTCCAAGCGGTCAGAACCAAAATACAATCTCAGTCTTCCAAGCATGAAAATCTCACCACCAGTGTTGCTTAGGCTAAAGCCAGTCTGCCGATGCTTCTGAAGTAGCAGTTTCTAGTCCTAACCAAGACAGAGCTGCTTTTGGCTACAGCTTAAACAGTACAGACTGGACTGGGGCACACTAGCAAAGCATATATGCAGTTAAAACATTAACCGTTCCAAGGACAAGTGAAAACAACAGCGCCCGACTCCAAGAACAAAAACTTTCTCAATTCCCTGAAGAAGGTGAACCAGAGACAAGGCTCGGTACGAGCTGCAGTGGGCAACAGACACCTACAGCTTTCACTCCTTCGTTACTGTACCACATCTGAACGAAAGTAATTCAAGAGCCTTCTTACACGGATGGCAGGTGGGACCACCATCAAATTATCATGCTGAACATTTGGAATACTGCCTAAGCTAGATCTCTGTAAAATCCCTCCCTCAGTTCCCTCCTAATTACTACTTAGCTCGTTACACTGAAGAATTCCTAGACACCACTGCATTATAGTCTAAAACTACAGTTGGAGCTTAATTCTCTCTTCCTCTCTGTGTCTGAAATTCTACAGCTCTATTATTCAAGCCTGAAATATTCACAACTATCTATAAATTCAATTGTCAGACGGTGGGTTTTATTCTAGACCTCACTTCAATCTAAAATTAGAGGCACTAAAATTCACATTAACTCTAAGAGGAATGTAGTGAATAAGACTTTATTTCAAAAGAACACCTTTTTGTCAGAAAGAGCTATTTTCAAGATGATGGCTTTATCTGCATTCAAAGAGAATAAGCCCAATTCCACATTGTGCTGTTAATGCAAAATTTTTAGGTCACATTGGATTAATAAAAATCTAAATTTAGTTAAGGTTTATGAATAGAAATAACATGTGTCATATAAAAACGTGCAGTATTTATTTTAAAGCCTTGGTGGGGTTGTTTTTTCTTCTTTACTGGATTTTAAGCAAATAAAAGACAGCTTCATTTGTGGTGGGCTGTTCTCAGGTAAGCTTTCTAACAACTAGTAGCTTTCTAGTAAACTTCCCTCTCAGTAACTATAGGGAAAGTAACTAATTAGCTCTAGCAGCATTGTCGTGCCCATATACAAGAGAAACTACACAGGGTGATGCAAGCCTCGCGTAATATGCGGTATATAGCATGACTCTCCACATCTCTGCTGAATTTACTTGACAACTTCTTCGTTAAGTCCTGAAACCAGTCACTGCTGGCAAAAAGGCAGAATGGCAGAGCACTTCAAAATGCAACTCCTGCTTTAAAATGGTCTTAAACAATAGTGAATAAATTGTAATGCCATGTGCTTATGAAAGGTTGAATACATTAAGAATTTATTAATGCAATCACATTCATATTTCCATCTACCTGCCACATTACTAATGATATTGACAGTGCTGACACTGGCTAAATCAGTATCAATATACAAGTGCAAAAATTAACTGCATCTGATTACAGTATATAGCCTTCAAAAAAGAAAACCTTCTCATTCGAGCCACTGGGAGTTTTTTATATTCCATCCATACATGCAATTGGTTCACAAAGTTACTTTTCCCTCATTTCCTTTATTACCAGTATCTAAAGGAGGTCAAAAGAACATGCTAATACTTCACAATCCATGAATACATTTCATGCTCGCTTTTCAAGCAGAAAAAGCTCTGCTTACAGCATCACTCGCTACTTCAGAGCTGCACTGGTGCTTTCAGTGAGAGCAGTAATTAGTCACAACAATCATAGTGAGCATCTTTACTACAGACCAACACAAAAGTCCACTTTTACCTGCACATGAAGTTTTTCTTTCCTTGAAGAGAGAATTACCCTATTTCCATAAATGTCAGAATAGGTTGTTATAAGTTGACATTTTTAATGACAGCTACTCTGTGGGAGCATCAGCAAGGCAGGTGTTATTATGCACACCTAGGTACTTTTTACGCTAACAGTGCAATACATCTGATTTTCCTCCCATACGTTCCTCTAACTCTCATGGATGTCAACCAAAAAGGTCTTAACTTATTATCCTCATACTTTAACTGTGAAAACCAGGAAAGAAAGTCTCAGTTTAAGTGACATAGTAAACTATGTCTGTAGCAGAGTCAGGACTGGAAGCCAGCTCCTTGCTTTGACCATAAAGACCACATTTCTCTCAAATACTGTGCTTACTTTCAGTATCATTTCAGAGGTCTATAGCAAAATCAGCAGATAGAAAACAGTGCAGCATGTTCCAGTGATTTCCCATACTCTGCCCCCCTGAATGCAAGAATGAAAAAATGTTTGTGTGAAAAGAAACTGAAATGTTGCTTCTAGCACAGATGCCCACAGTAACACCTCAAGACTTACATCAGGCCCCGTTGAAGAGCTCAGTAACAATTTCAGCCAAGCTGCTTTATATTGAGCATTTTTTTTCTGCTTCAGCTAATTGCACTCTAGTAAAGTGGCAAAATGTGAATCACTTAGTAGGAAAATGGGCACCAGCTGCTATTGTCAGAGAATGGAGATGCTGAAGAAAAGGAAAGTGACTGAATGAAGTGTCATGTCAGAAATCAACGGTGCAACGTGTGATTTGAGAAAACATGACTACTTTACAGAGACAGGGTGTCATTATGGCATCACAGTAATACGATGCTTTGACAACTGCTGGGTCTAACATATCATCATTGCATTAAGGTGCACTGGCTTAGTTGGAGGAAGGAAAAGAAAGGATTTCTTCTTTTAATATGAAATATCGTAAAGCCTGCTTGGTTAACCTAGTAGATGGGATCACTAATTGCAAAGCATTGCTTATATTGTCCCATGCTCACACAAACAAAAATGTTATTATGCATTAGGTCTTTATTAATGAACATACATGTACAACCATGTGGTAAAGAGTAGCCTGTGCAAATCAGAATGGTGGTGGGGCTTTTTTTGTTTTGTTTGTTTCTTTGTTGGTGGGGGTTTTTTTAACAAGTCTTGATTGTTTCATTGGTTTTCGTAATTTCTTCTTTCTTTTATGTTTTCTTGAAACCTTCAGCACTTCACCTTGGTAAGGAAAAGCAACGCAAGCCAATGACTTCTTCCAGAGCAGCTGTCATAGCCGCTAGCAGCCGGAACAGAAGAAGCAATGCTTGAAGCCATCATGTTGTTACCAGCAGTGGCCCGAGTTAGCTGATGATTGCTGACAGAGGATCCAGCTTCCCAGTTACTATTGCTCTGTACGCAATCTACCAAGCTCTGCGAAAGCACTTCCTGCACACAAGGCAGTGGAAGACTACACTACTTCATGGTCATTTTTAGTCTAACAAAACAAGCCATTATTTGAGGTCCTTCACATCTGCACCTAATCTGAGAGGCTGCACTTTGTTTTCTGTTCTGCTTTTAAAAAACAAAATTTTCAAGTGGCTGACTTGCAACTACTGCAGACCCTCCAAAATGAGGGGGAATTATTGTAACCTCCCCTCCAGTATATAAATATTCATTATTGCTTCCTTTTACATTTCATATTGATTCCCTGTGCTTCCTGGTTGATAAACTTTGTTAACAAGAAGGAAATGATCCTGAGATACCCCAATGTGTTGCAAATTATCACTGTTGACAGCTTCTACGTTTAAGGATTACATCTGATGCAACAATGCATACTAGTGTCATTTATCTTTAGCATTTCCTTGGACTTATTTCAACTGAGGGTGAACATCTTTTGTTTATAGCTCTAAATACTGTAAGTGAGCAACTGGCAAATCAATAAAACTGTTAAATGCATAATAATACTGTGTAATTACTTACATGATGTTTTGCATAATTAACTGTCTGAGGTGTTCCCTGATATAATGGATACTCAGAGTATGGAATAACCTATAAGCCTATAAAACACACTCTGTTTATATGAACAGAAATTATGTCTAAAACTCTCATTCCAATAATCCAAATCAGGCTTTGGCACTATATGACAGAAAGCTTTCCTTTCCTGCCAAGTCTAAATCAATTCTTATGGCATTACTTCATAACTAACGTGATATTTCACTGATGATGACTATTACCCTGATTACTTGGAAGTAATGTAGTAATAGCAAAAATACACTTAGATTAAACAAACTACTGCTATTTAATCAATATTATTGAGACAAACTAAGTGTTTTAATAAGTCTGTATAGATGCACTAATGCTGGTTTAATTAAATGCATCCTTAGACATGCACAAGCTCTGCAGCATACAGATCCTACGGTTTGACAGACCATAACATTACTCTTCTGAATTTAAAAGCTGAAGCACTTATAGCCAACAGAATTTAAATCTTTTCAGACTGCAAAACGATTATTCTGTACATCAGGTACTCTTTGGGGAACAAAAAGTAAATGGGGAAGAATACTCAAAGACCTTGCACCTTTGAGCCAAAACATGTTACTTAGGGTGCCAGCCCTCAGTAACACAGTTGTCCAATGCATCCAATATACATCCCTGCAACACACTTACAAAAACAAACAAAACCTCCAACTGAAAGGCAAAAAATAAAGCTGATATAAAACTCACAAATCTAACCTTTAATTTTGCATGCGTGCATGTAAATAGTATCCTATTAGCACTACTACTAGTAGGCAAGCACCACAGAAACTTTCCTACAGAAATGACCTGCCTACTTGCCTCCTGTATTTCAAGTAAGTACAAAAAGATACTTTTTTGGTATGCTCTGATGAGTCAGTTTTCAGGAAGAAAAAAAAAAAAAAAAAAAAAAAAAAGGGGGGTAAATACCAAAGAGAAGGCAACAGAAGTAGATGGCACCTTAAATTAAAGTTATACATAAAAGAAATGTGTAATTTTGTGTTTTGTGTACATATTATGGTTCTGATACAACTTAAACCTCAGTAAATACTTCATATCCCTACTTAATGTTTAGGTTTCTCTTTTTCTCCTGTGTTTCTAACATTCTTACACAGTTAGAACATAGCTGTTGTTTGAGTTACAACCACATCATTAGAAAACTTTAGACTTACCTTCTCTCGTTTAGTGGGTTTTAGCCTAATGCTACTTATTTTTTGTTGGTACAGTACTTAACATCCCTCAAATGAGTCGGCTCTTCAGCACCTGGAGAGCTGTACAAACTCACACTAAGAGACTTTCCATGCCCAAACAGTTCCTACAGAAAGGCTGTGATGTGACTACTAGAACGATGGCCAAGTTTCACCGTTTGAAAATCCATATATTGATCAGGAAAAGTGAGATTTTAGTACTCTATTTTCAAACTGCAGCCTAACACTTTTAATTCATATCACATGTTGGAAAACAGCAAATCTTTGGTTAAGAAGTTAAGTGTTTCCTGTGATGGAACATCACTTTACTCGCGGTTATACTCCAGTGGTATCAGGTGGAGTCCACCTGATGTCTCTAGCCCCCAGAGGACATGATGAAGTGTCAAGGAGTTCTCTAATTGTTAATTGTGAGGATTCTTTTTAGTAAGAGAAATCAAGTGAAACAGCAAAAGAAAATAAAATGCTACATTCAGCTACTTCAAGGGAGAAAAATACAAAACTACAAAAATAAAGATTTATTCAAGAACATAACAGGCTTTCTAAAGAGGGATTATTTTGAAATGATTACAGCATCAAAAGCAGTTACTTGCACCAGTCAGAAAGCCAATACTACAGATCAGAGAGACAGAGCTGTCATTCATCACTTTCCAAAGGGAAAAAGATGACAAAAAAAAAGCCTTCATTCTCAAGAGAGAGTCTAAGTTTGCATCACCAGATTTTTCACAATTTCTAGCAGCAATTTCACTCCACGGCTGAAAGGCAGAGAGTAGGTGTGCGCACACTGTGTACCTGTCTCCCCACCCAGCTCCCTCACCGATTTTCTGCAGATTTGTAACAGACAAATTATAATTTGCCAACCAAGCGCTGTCAAATTGGAGAAGCTATTAGAAAGAACATACCAGAAATAGTATCAGAGAGTAAGTGTCTTGAAAGACTCAAGACTAAAACCTATAAAAGCAACTGATCCTCCTCCAGCCCCCTCACTCAGTTGCCTCCCGAAGATGCCCTCTCCTCCCAGCCACAAGCCACTGGTTTAACCCCCCCCCGCCCCGCACATACACACGCGCACGCACAAGCAACCGAAAAGCTACGTGGTGAGTTGGAAAATGACGTTTTCCTGCAATCAGTGTTTAAGTGAATGTTTGTCCCAGTGTGTTACACCATGCTGTCAGCTAGCAGCAGGGAGCCGTTGAGTTGTTACTACATTTGATTTGACTGCCAGTAGGAAGCTTTATTTCTACCAACTGTTAGTTGCCAGCTCTAAGGATCTTATCTTACTTTGAGAGGTTTTTTGTTGGGGTTTTTTTTGTTTGGGGGTTTTTTCTGTTTTTTTAGATATTGTCCATGATTTTTCTCCTTCACTCTGAAGACTTCTAGTGTACAGCAGAAGCATCTCCACATTTCCATGCACCACAGCAGTCTCTTCACTTATACTTGCTGCCTTAAACACAAAAAAGTAATTGCATTAAGGCAACTATAAGTGGATCCTGACACACATCAGAAAAGTGATTTTTCATGTCTGGACATCTGAATGAGAGGTGCAAAGTTGAATATTTACATAAGCAAACTGAAGCAGGGGAATTTTATTCTGATCTTTTCTGAAAAATATAGGATTAGACACTGGAAATAGGTATTGAGAGATAACCTGGGTGGATTTTCCTTCCAAGGAGAGCATTTGCTATCCAGATCGTCATAGGCTTCCCAGACAGAGTTTTTAGCAGGGTTTTTTGTTCGCTTGCTTATTATTCACGTATATCCTGGAAGGTTTCTCCTCTGTCAAACAAGGTCCTATAACTTTAACAGTTGTTTACAATGCTTCCTCTTCCTACACAATAATGATGATTTTGATAATTGGGATCTAATTATAATGGATCTGACAACAACTTCCGACAACGAAAAGCATCTTTAGAAAAATGAAAGCATATGCATGAATAGTGAAGTGGGGTGGGGGGAGAGAAATACATTCCTATGAGACAGCCTGAGAACTCAGGCTGAATGGAAAAGTAATTAACACTAAAGAGCTAAAACTGTAATTAAAGAAAATTTCATTAAAGGGAGGCAGGTGATTCCACTTTCCTAAATATGACAAGGTGCTGTATAAAAATAAAATAGCAGCCGGTTTCAGTGAGTGGAGCAGGAAAGCCATGTCTTTAACCAGATCAAATTCTCGAAATTGGCTGTCAAGACGGGATTGTTGTGATTTATACCCGTCTATCAAGCGCATGAAAGAGAGAGACAGGAGAGGAAAAGAGGCAAGCTGCTGTCGCTTCCATTCGCAAAGCACCTTTAATTTCCATGGCACCATCTGTTACCAAATCTAATTCACATTCCCTCCTAATCTGGTTTAGTTCTGTAATACTAATTCTTCCACTACTCTTACAAACATCACTCTCAAGAAAAAGCTTTGGTTCTGGGTTGGTAAAAAATTGAGTATTATACAGTTAAGGTTCTGGTGACTTAACTGAAGCATGCTGCCCATTAAAATGCACTCCTGGTAAAAGGATTTCTTTCCAGTCAGTGCAAAGATACAGAATTGCTCACATTTGAAAAAAAGTCATGGGGGGGAGGAGGGGAAAGGAAAAGAAGGGGAGAAAAAGGGAAAGAAAAAAAAAAAATCACAACTGATGATAGGAAAGTAGGCTGTGGACATGAAAGCAGAGGTTGTCATAAAATACAATTGTTGTCAAGTTTAGTCACTTTCAGTACTGGCTATAAAATCACTTTGTCACGGTCTCATATTGAAGGCTTGGAACTGTATTTTTGCTAAGGAAACTAAAAGGAGTAAAAATAAGATTCTATGAGGGAGAAAATATTTCTTTCAAATTATGAGATGCAAATGTTCGTAAGAAACCAAAAAGGTAGGGACAAAAACTGAAAGTGGTTTAAAACAGTGAGTGCCAGCATTTCACCAAGTGCCATGGTCTTACTCTTAGCTGTGTGACGATGTTAAAAATCTCAATCGATTTGTGGGACTTGGAAACAAAGCAAAGGCCAAAGCCTTTCCTGTGGCTAAGTGTTCTCAGACAGGCAGTCCCCAATCTACTGGGTCTAGGGATAACTGTGCTTTCTTCTTGGTTCCCACACAGAGTTCCTTGACCAGCTCCTATTCGAAGCAACATAAAAAGAAAAAAAAAAAAGGACCTAGACAAACACTACTACTAATAATATTTTGGTACTATTTATTAATAATACTCATCTTTTACTTATTCATTTTAACACAGATACTAAACTGCATTTCCAGGGAGTTCCCTCTTACAGACGGGCAAAACAAGACACAGAAAGGTGAAGAGTTGCCTGATGCTGCTCAGCAGGCCGACAACACAGCATGGAACAGAATGAAGGTTCTGGAGAATCCCAATCCATTATATTTTTGTTTTGGGGGGTTTTTTGTTGGTTTTTGGATATTTTTTTTTTGGCCATGGCTTTGGTGAAAACATGCCTTGGAAGTCTAAACATTTATTTCTAAGAAGGGAATTCGCCTTGAACTTCCAGAAATGGGACGTTTATTATTTTTAAGTATACAGGCTTTTCTAAATGGGAAATTTATTTTAAGGCTAAATTAAATCTCTTCTTATTCCTACATTGAATGTTTATTTTTCTGTTAAAGTAATTCCAATTTCTTTATTTGTAGCCTTCCCAAATATAAAGCCTATGGCAAGAACAGCTTTAGCCAGTACAAAGGGTAATGTGTGAGCAATGCGTAGCTGTGAATAGCCCAAGGTTTTTATGTTTTTGAGGGTTTTTTAAGGATTTGAAATAGAAGAGGCATACAATATCAGGAAAAAAAAATACTTTGATAAAACAGTAATATTCTACAAAATGCAAAAAAGGAGTGCTAGTTTCCATTATATGGAAGAATAATGTATAAACAAATTCCTATCAAAAGAAAAGATTACAGATACAATTGTAACTGCTGTGAAACATCCATGAACAGAGATGACAGTTCTAAAGATGAATATGAATTCTGAAGAAGTCTCCTTCACCAATATCACTGCCTGATTCACAAATTGCTGAAATAATTCGGGTAATTTCATGAAAGGTGTTAGGTTTGTTATTTTATTGGGAAAAGTAGGTAAAAAAACAAAATCAAATTTGTTCCAAATACAGCACATCTGTCATTCATTGTGGGTCAAAACTTTGGATACTGCAGAATAGACCCAGTAACTCTGAAGCTTTGCAAATTTATACCAGCTAATGGTGTTATTCTCCAACCTAGCCTGAGATTTCAGAGCGTCTAAGGTCCTGCTACTCTGACAGACAAAATGCAAGTGGATTATCATAACCTACTGCACCCAAGGAAAACCACATTGACATCAAAGGACTTGGAGAGCATAGCAGTCTATTTATTATTATTTGTTTCACTAAAGTATTTGAGTGATATGATCCCTGGCTCTTAATGCACAACATTTCTATTTCTACACTATAAAGTCCCTTAACATTTTTAAATGAAAACTAAAAGAAAAAATAACTTCTTCCTTTGAATTCTTACTCTTCCTTTGTTTCTCTATCTTGATTCTGGAAACACTGGAAATTAAAAATAGGCAAAACAAAGACTTGAGCAAGTTACTTGGGTATGGTACTGATGATCAAATTCATCATATGCTGAGACAAATCAGAGAATTTGTAGAAGCAAAACATATGCAGCTTAAGTCTTTTCTAGTCTGTCTTGGATTTTAATGTGTGATTACAGATTTTTATAAATAAATAAACCTTTGGCTTTTCACAGTTCCTTGTTCTTCACATATTACTATGTGTAATTCAAACCTATTTATGCCACTGGGTTTACATGTCAGAGAGTTGCCTCTGGATATAAGCAGCAAAGGTCAGGAAGTAATGGCTTTCGCTTTTAAAATGTTTGCATGACTCTGGCAAGTTCAGGATGAGCTTTTCACAAAGTGCTGATATGGTTTCTACTCTTCTATCTTTTGCTCTCTATTTTGGTGGGAGTCACAGGGAGAAAAGAAGGAAATTCAGCACATTCTAGAAAAAAATGTCTAACGTAACAAATATGTACCAGCCCAATTATTACATATAGAACAAGGACGTTGCTACTTGCAATTATAAAGCAATCATATGAACATGCTGCAATTATTACACGCTGAACCTGCGGTCATCTCTTCTGCAAGTCACTGAGAGACTTGTCCAAGAAAAGCTTTACATGAACAGATCAACATTAATTACTCCAATTGCACACTGCAAATTTCAGCTGTATTTTAATGACAGACTTGCTTTTGCTATTTCAGTAGTATAAAGTCTGGATCAAATATTTAATTCTTGTAAATCTAAAAGTTCTGCTTAAGTCGACTGCCTTTGGGTAAGCAATGAAAGAAAAACTGGTGTGAAGAAAGCACTGCATTCCACCACTAAACTGAATTAACACACACATCTAATCCTGAGAAGTTCTGTGCCTTGCTAGTTTCAGTGCAAGTTCAGGCTGTGCGGCAAACTGAGTATCAGCCCTGATCAGCTAATGGGAGTGCATTAAATGATGATTTTACCAGATTGGGCTTTACATTTTGTATCATGATAGGACTAATGTCTGGAATAAAAATCCACCTGCATTTCACTAAGCATCTGCCTAGGATATACACCAAACCTGCTCCACTTCGTCACTGGTTCTTTACACAGTAAAGGGCCTGACAACAACTGAGTCTTTATATCACTATTACTTCACAGAATGAATAGCCTGGAGTTCTAAAAAATAAATTATGAGCAACCAAGAGAACACCAATATATTCAAAACTTTAACTGCCCATAGCTGGAAGCTTAATAAACTGAGGGTGTGTGTGGAGATGAGCATCAACACCTAAAG